GAAAACCAGAAACTAGTCTCCAAGCAGGAAAAGTGGTCTACGACCATGAAAAGCGGTCTACGACCACAAAAAGGTGGTCTACAAGACCTCTCCCTCCCTCCAGGGAAGAGAAACAAGACTTGGTCTACAAAATCGAGCCGAAACACGAAGAGTTCAGAGGCCCGGAGGCAAGGCACTCAGCCGAAAACTCCCAAACCTCGAAACGAGCACAACATGTGTAATCACCGAGCGCTCAAACGATGACGTCTAAATCTTAAGGTCAGTCAAAAATGGAGTGTCTATAGGCCGATAAAGCCTCCGGATTCGGAACCCTATCGGCGCATCGCGCCTTTGAACCGATAAAGCCTCCGGATTCGGAGCGCCTTTTGTGGATATCACGACTGGCGTTTCCGGATTTGGAGCCCCGTCGGCGCATAATGCCTTTGAGCCGAATAAGGCTCCGAATTCGGAGTGCCATCGACGCATGACGCCTTTCGGCCGGTTAAGCCTCCGGATTCGGCTGGCCAAATGGAGTCCGGATTTGGAGCCCATCGGTCCATGACGTTCATGGGCCAAATAATTTTCCGAATTTGGAGTGCCCTTCGTGGATATCACGATTGGCCAAATAGTCTCCGAATTCAGAGTCCCATCGGCGCATGACGCCTTTGGGCCGATAAAGCCTCCAGAGCCCGGTCGGCGCATAACGCCTTTGAGCCGAATAGGGCTCCGAATTCAGAGCGCCATCGGCGCATGACACCTTTCGGTCAGTTAAGCCTCCGGATTCGGCTAGCCAAATAGAGTCTGGATTCGGAGCCCATAGTCCATGACACTCATGGGCCGAATAATTATCCGAATTCGAAGCGCCCTTCGTGGATATCACGATTGGCCAAATAGTCTCCGGATTCGGAGCCCCATCGGCGCATGATGCCTTTGGGCCGATAAAGCCTCCGGATTCGGAGCCCCATTGGCGCATCACACCTTTGAGCTGATAAAGCCTCCGGATTCAGAGTGTCTTTTGTGGATATCACGATTGACGCCTCCGGATTCGGAGCCCCGTCGGTGCATAACGCCTTTAAGTCGAATAAGGCTCCGAATTCGGAGCGCCATCAGCGCATGACGCCTTTTAGCCGGTTAAGCCTCCGGATTCGGCTGGCCAAATGGAGTCCGAATTCGGAGCCCATCGGTCCATGACGCTTATGGGCCAAATAATTTTTTGAATTCGGAGCGCCCTTCACGGCGAAGATTAAAACGTGAAACATTTACACATCAAAGTGGGATGCTCCATTAAGTTGAGCCAGCAAAAACCATTTACACATCAAAGCATATAAACATTCAAAATGAAATAATTAGTTGACTTGGGCCGGCCTAACCGCATGAACAAAACAAAACATGCCAACATTCGAAATGAGATACCTAATTAAGCATGTAAAAATTCAGAATGAAATACAAACATTTAAAATATAACATTTTATTCAATTAGACAATAATTACATAATCTTGCACGCAATCTGCGTTTGAGCATTACAATGTCTATTTTTGTCTGGCGTCTCCCTCGTCGTCACTCTTCTCAACTTCGAAGGCGGAAAAGGGAAAGTGATCACGTTGGTATAGCAGGAACGCCGAATCAACGCCCGTTGCTCGGAGAGCTTCCTCAGCTTGAAGTGCCTTGATCCAACCATGTTTAAATCCACGATTTTCACATCGGCAAACTTCCTCGGCGAGCGTCTCCCTGCTCTTCTGTATCCCTACTTTTCGGCCTTTATGGAAGCCTTTTTCATAGGCCCTCCCCTTCGTGGACTCTATTGCAAACATGCTCGCCGTATCACGATCGGCAAGTGCGGTACTGATGAGCCGCTGGGTCACCCTTTCTTCCACGATTGGGTTAGCCTGTCCAACTGGTTGTATCGAAGCAGCCTTGACCTTCCTTAGCTCGTGCTCAGCCGCTTCCGCACGAGCTTCTAAGCTTCAAATGCGTTCATCCTTCTTCTCTATTTCTCGTCGGGCAGCACGAAGGCGCATGCCGATTTCATAGGCGGTGTACAGCCCTTTCACCGCCCCATGAACACCCTCTCGAAACACCTCGAAGTTAGGTCGACCAACCATCGACTGCTGTACTTCCGGCGAAAAAATTTGTCGTGTAAATTCGACCGCCACGTTCGGGTCCCGGATGATGGAATCCGCCTCTGTCATTGGTCTGTTCCCAACGAAAACAGAAAAGCTCAATGGGCGTAGTGGTCCGCTGGCCTCACTTCGCGAACGAGGGGAGCTCCCACACTGGCGCTTCTCCTTCCTTAGTGACCTGCTTCGTCGACGCGGAGAGTGATGCCTCTCGTGCTCTACAGATGCCCTACCTCCCGTACGGGGAGGCTCGCCACCTCGATTCACTGATGAGTCCAGCTCCGCCAAAGTCTTGTCTTCTCCCTTACTATTAAAGAAAAGTTTGGTTGACATTCACACTTTTTCGGCCACGAAAGACAAGTAAAATCGAGTTGCTTTATGAAACCTAAATGGAATCGCTCAACCCCTTTTTAATCACTCAGGAGTGCACCTCACTCCCGAGGCGACATCATCAATGCGCAGACTCCAGCAACCACCAATATTCAACATTATTGATTCATTCTGATTTAGAAGTCCTATTCGGCTTTCGGAGTTCATACATTGGCTGAGGCAAGGGCAGATTTATTAATCTGATCGGCCAAATACCTAAGCCCAATGCTGATCGATTTGTGCCGCAGCCACTCCATGAACTAGTTCTATTCAGCTTTCGATATTTATACATTGGCTGGGGCAGGGGCAGATTTATTAATCTGATCGGCCAAATACCTAAGCCCAATGCCGATCGATTTGTGCCATAGCCACTCCATGAACTAGTCATATTCGGCTTTCGGAGTTCATACATTGGCTGGGGCAGGGGCAGATTTATTAATCTGATCGGCCAAATACCTAAGCCCAATGCCGATTGATTTGTGCCGCAGCCACTCCATAAACTAGTCCTAGCCACTCCATGAACTAGTCCTATTCGGCTTTCGGAGTTCATACATTGGCTGGGGCAAGGGCGGATTTATTAATCTGGTCGGCCAAATACCTAAGTCCAATGCCGATCGATTTGTACCGCAGCCACTCCATGAACTAGTCCTATTCGGCTTTCGGAGTTCATACATTGGCTGGGGTAGGGGCAGATTTATTAATCTGATCGGCCATACGACGGGGCCCTGAGTCGATTTACTTGTTTGGTTAAATTAAGGTTAAATTAATTGCCAAGTTACACTGTTATCTAATCGGCAGTTATGCAGTGGGATATTTAATCTACTCATCTCATGATCCTACTTCCTATCGGATCGATAAGCTTTCGGAGTTCATACATTGGCTGGGGCAAGGGCAGATTTATTAATCTGATCGGCCAAATACCTAAGCCCAATGCTGATCGATTTGTGCCGCAGCCACTCCATGAACTAGTCCTATTCGGCTTTCGGAGTTCATACATTGGCTGGGGCAGAGGCAGATTTATTAATCTGATCGGCCATACGACGGGGCCCTGAGTTGATTTACTTGTTCGGTTAAATTAAGGTTAAATTAATTGCCAAGTTACACTGTTATCTAATCGGCAGTTATGCAGTGGGATATTTAATCTACTCATCTCATGATCCTACTTCCTATCGGATCGATAATTAGCATACACAATAGACAGTAATCATTTTATCCAAAGTAGTGAAAAGCAAAACTCTTCATTAATATCAAAAACTGCGTACAACTAATAGTAAAATGAAAAGGAAATTTTCATTAATAAATTGCGCACAGATAGTAACTAATTTATACATGAAAATTACCTTGAACTAACAGAAATCTACTAAACAAAAACATACATTGAAATTGAAAATACCGAATAAAACTAAAATGTCTCCCAAATCAAGCCACGGGATCAGACTCAAACGGCTCAACGTCCACTTGCTCATATGGAATTAGCATGGCCAATGTAACTCCAGCTGCAGCAAGGGCTTTGAGCCACCCGTGTTTGAATCCCCGATTCTCGAATTTGGGGACTTCTTCTACGTAGTTTTCAAGGGCGGCGCTCTTTCCAGCCTTGAACGTCGCAAAAGCCTCAGAGTCGGCTTTTTCCTTGGCCTTTTTCAACTCTTTTAACTCGGCCTCTACCTTGGCAAGCGCCTCCTTGGCTAACTTAAGCGATTCCTCGTTTGCGTTTGCCATCTCCTCGGCGTCGAATCTAAGCTAGTCAGCAGTCTGAGCCCTCTCCTTCTCAGCTTCAGCTCGAGCACTTTCCATTGTGACTCTTGTTGCCTCGAACTCGGCCCTGCTCCTCTTACCTTCAGCTTCTGACTTCAAGCAGCCAATTCTTTCAATGGCATCATGCTGGCGGCGGCCTAGTTCGGCTATCCTTCTAACCGTCTGCAAAACAAGGAGTTGGGATAATCACATACCAAGAAATATCGTATGCAAACCAAACCAAACAAGAAGTAAAAAAGATCAAGTCACATACCAGAAGGGCCGACTGGGCAGCTAATGCTATTGCTACCAAATCCGACTCGGCACGAAAGGTTGCCTTGTCAGCCGACAAGGAGACCGAGGCAGCCAAGCTCAGAACCACAGCTGGATCTTTCAAAGCCGACGCTTCAGAGGAGATCAGCATGTTTTTTATCTTTGGTTCGACAACGAAAGGAGCAACCACACCCGGCTCCTCTAAGCGTGGTCGTTTGTCAGTGGGGCCCTCCTTGGAGCCGGCCTCGCTCTCGGCAGTACTTTTTTCTCCCCGATCTTCTGAAATCGGCCGTTCTTCTGTCATCGGCCTCTTAACATCCTTCTCCATCTCGGCCGCATGAACTTGAGTCGTTTCTTCGACTATAATGGGTTCGGAAGATTCAGTCGGGGTAGGTCCAGAACGGGTGGCCTCGGCTTTCCGTCGGGCAGCCATGCGTTCGGCGTTTTTCTTTTGTGCCAACTGCGTGAGGCTTTCCCCAGCCATGCCCTCAGAATAAGCGCCGGGAAGGTCTCCCAAATTCGTAAAAATGTCTTCAAAGGAGACGTCCTATCGGCCTGATGTAGACGGAGGGTTGGATGAGTTGAGTCCGGCTTCCTCAAAGGCCGAATTAAGAGCTTCATCAATCTCCGTCGCCAACTGGTTCGAGTCCTCGGCGATTGGTTCGGCCGCTTGTTCTTCTACTTGTTCAGAATCGGATGCTTCTAAACCAATCTGTCTCAAGTTTTTGAAGTTGGGAAAGATAAGGGCTGTAAGATGGTTGTCATCTTTCGGGATCGGAATGTTGTCTGCCGTCGAAAATGTCGTGTAAGTCGGCTCGTACCGCAAAAGAATGTGGGCCGCCCTCCTTTGTTTTTGAAGGTTTGGACGGCCGACAAACTGTAGCGCGGTTTTGATTTTTGCAAGTATAGCGTCATCGTCTGAGACCAACACTTTCTTCAAGTCGCTTCCTACATAAACAAAGCGATGAGATGTATATAGGGTTGAATTCAGATATGGAAATAACATAAACAAAAGTGATCTAATCAGCTACCTGGTTCGCCTTTTCGCCTTGGCATAGGGTCTAGGCGATCTTCACCTTCGCCGAATTCCCAATTACCGCAGACGACGACCATCACGTCATCGACTCACTTGCCAGAGCTGGCAAGCATCATCACTAAGTGATGATCAGTATCCTTGGCTCTAAGAAAGTAGCGTCCTAGCCGGCCAGTAGATTTGGCTAGGACATAACAGTGCCGAACGGCGGGTATACCTAAATTAATCCTAAGACGCCGATTTAGCTCTACAATTCCTATTATGATACGAAAGAAATTCACGTTGGGTTGGGAAGGGATTAGACCTAAATATCGTAGAACGGCCCTCAAAAATGGATGAAGGAGAAAGCAGACTCCGCCCTCAGCAATTGACAGAAGGGGGAAGACGATTGTGCTCTCGTCATCCTTCTCTATATCAGTGGTGCTGTCTGCCAAAAGTGACAAATGGACATCATCGAGGATGGAAAAATGGCTTTGAAAGCCGGAGATTCGGTCCGTTGAAAGGAGCTCCTTCAGATGTTTTGCCATCTTGGCCAGCCCAAGGATTATGGAAAACTAAAAGCAAACAAGGAAGCGGGATCGAAAGTGAATGAGAAGAAAACTTACAAGGGACGAAGGGAAAAATGAGAAACAAGGAGTTGCAGAAGCCGCAAAGTGAAGGAATTGCACTAGAAGGCGAACCAGATATCTTTGAGTATTCAGAACATACATTCAAAGAGACAATTTCAAATCACATTAAATGGAGGCAGTGTATGAAGGGGCGGGAAAGCATTACAATGACCAAAAAGCGTGTATGCGTTCTGACAAGCATTGTTAAGAGGGTTAACCGCCGAATTTTTGACTTCCCAGGCTAGAAGCCAAACACTCCATCTAACTAATGCTAGTGGGGTGTTTAGGGGGCAATAGTGGGAGCCGAATTTAACTAGATCAATAGGGACGAATGGACCTGTCCGATCCAAAACGTAACCTCTATTCGGCATTGATCCTAGTCAATCGAAGAGCCGAATAAAATAACCGGCACTCCAACCAGTAGAACAAAGGCCGAGTAGAAGTACATGTAAATGATCAAGGATGGGCCTGGCCTTAAGGCCCAAAGAGAACACTATAAATACGGGATCATTAGTCAGAGAAAGGTATGTAAGAACTAGTGAACGTAACTTAAGATACAAGTAATCAAGAGAGTATACACTGACTTATTCGTCGGAGTGCTAATTTCGGCACCCCTGACAGGAGAGTTCATTTCTTTTCAGGTGACTAGCTGAGGATCACAAGCGTCCCCTAAGACCGGAAGAGTATTTCCAAACCACTTCCCCACATTTTTTTATTCATACAACTAACAAATTATTAATGAAAATATAACCAAATATTATTTAAATTAAAATCTCAAAGCTCAATATAATATGGGTTGTTTGGGAAGTGAGTTTGGGGCTAAAATAGTCACAAAAAATAAAATAGACTTTTTAGTCCTAATAAGACAAAACATCACATTCAACTCATAATCATTACATTATTTCTCTCTAAAAAAAAGTCAAAAAAGTCAAAAGTCTTTCCCAAACTAGACTTTTTAACCCCACACAAATAGCCAAAAAAGTCAAAAAGCCAAAAAACAAACCCCCTTCCTAAACCAAGCCTATGTCAAATTTATAAAATTTACTGTATTTTTATTTTAAATTTCTTTTTTTAAATATTTCAAAAATGTAAACTATTTATCCAAATAATCCACTTTTCAAACTGTCTAATAAACTAATCAAATTTTAAAAAACTCAAACTCAAAACATAACTTCATTTTAAAATTACAGGTTTAAAATGCGATTTTACCATGAAATCACATCTTCAAACTATTTGTCCAAATAATTTATTTTTAAACTATTTAGCAAATTAATCAACTTTTTTAAAAATGCAAGTTTAAAATACTATTTTATTATTAAATTACAAAATCAAAATGCGATTTGATGGTGAACATGTGATTTTAAAAAGTCATGTAAATTGATATATAATTTGAAAACTTGATTATTTTTATAAGTAATTTAAAAAAGTCATGTAAATTGATATATAATTTGAAAACTTGATTATTTTTATAAGTAATTTAATTTTTTGAATAGTTCACACAAAAAATAAAATAAAATAAGAAATAAAATCCCTAACTAATAGGTATTATTATTTGTAAAATGTCCAAAATTAGAATAATACTACTAGAATATTTATCCAGGGGTTTCACCACATTTGATTCCAACCCTATATAAGAAATCGCTCGGCCGCCTCTCATCACTCTTCTCTACATTACTAAACCCTAACAATTCCCATCTTTCTCTGGTTTTCTTCTTCCTCCTTTGAAGATATACTTGTTTTCGAGCTATATACAATCGGTAACTATTTCTGTGTTTGTTTCTTCGTTCGATTATTATTATTATTACTATTTTTTAATATCTTTGCTGCTATAATCGTGTATATACTGATCTTAATCTCAACTATGTCGCTTGAGGAGTGGTGGAATTGACAATGGTAAAACTTTTTTGGTTAGAAAGCTCGTTAAGCGGTTTGTGTTGTATTTGTTTTGATGGTATTTATAGATTTAGAGCTATGTTCATGCCGTGATGGTTGAAATTTGGTGAACCTTTCTTGGAAATGGTTGAATTCTTGTTATCATATTAAAATAATTTGTTTGTTTGTGTCTATTTTCAGATTTTTTTATTTTCCCTCTGCTATATTTTTAACTTTATATGATATATCAATCTCTCATAAAGTTCATTTGTTTTATACAAGCGTCAATCTTTAAAATAAAAAAAAATTAAAAAAAAAAACTTTAAAAGTATAGTAATTTCTTGTGTTATTATGGATGAGAAAATAAAGAAAAAATTTGAATCTAAATTATCTATCTCTTGCTCTCACACTCCTTTGTTGCCTCTTTTTTTTTCTTTTTTTCTTTTTTTCTTTTTTTTTAAAATTTATTTACTTAACCAAAAAAAAAAGTTTTTTTTTTAATTCCTTTTTCCATTCCAATATATATATATATATTCTTTTGATTAGTCTCAGCCAAGGTGAACATGGCTCCAAAAAATGAAATTAATTTTTTGACAAGCAGAAAATGAAATACATTGTATGGTTTTGCTTCAAATAAAAAAAGGAAAAAGATTCAAATAAACAAATTTGGGATAGCTAAAGTGGAGCAAAATTGGGACAAGTTAAAGCAATATTTGCAGTTGTTGCTCTTCATTGGCGGCTTTGAATTGAAGCTTTCAAGTAAATGGAATGGAACTAATATATTATTGATACAGTACTTATGCATATATCTTCTTTCGATCCTTTTGATCATAATGTGGCACAAAGGTCATTTTCTTCTTTTGTGAGGTCTTCTTCCCCAATGTTAACTGTTCTTGTTTCTTCTGAAAGGGCGATATTGATTTTGTTGAATGATTCTTCCCCACATATATATTTGTTTGATCCTTAACCTCCCCTTTTGTGTAAGAAGAATTTTTTACTTTTCTGTTGTCCGCAATCAATTTTTTCCCTTGAACTTTTTGTCTCATAACATAGTAGTACAACATGAGCATTCTTTTTATCCGATTCATTTTTGTTAAGGCCTAACTCATTAACCTGGTTGATTCAAGAAAACTGACAGGTTCATCTGCTCTCTGCAAATTGCCACCTTGAAGTGTGTCATTGTGTCAACACTGAGGTTTCTTTTATGTCCGAACAGGCCATTTTCTATTTGGGATCGATTGGGTTGCTTGGAGAGTATTGTCCTACGTCAAGAAAAAGCACACCCTTGCCAGAAAGAATTGACTGTATGCATCACGGGTCATTTCAGGAATACCCACGGTTTTATGGTTGCAGCTGGATGCAACATTCCTTGACTACAGAGGAGGATCCCTCTTTTTGTGCCCAAGAATCATTAGAAAACTTCTACATGCTGAAATACAGCATTTCTCATTTTGAAATCTAGCCTTTTGTTCTAAGAACTTTTTGCTCTAAACCAAACATGGCTTTACACACTACGCCAAAACAGGGCATTAACGGCGGTTACGAAAACCGTCGTTAAAGGTACTATTAACGGCAGTAACGAAAATCGTCGTTAAAGGTATCATTAACGGCGGTTTTGTTACCGCCGTTAAAAAAATCGCCGTTAATGCAAACTTTTAATGGCGGTAACAAAACCGCCGCTAATGCCCAATCATTACCGCCGTTAATGACGGCGGTCTTTGCCGGCGAAACTCCGGCGAGCTCCGGCGAAACCATCTAGAATAAAGTAAAAGTAATGTTTAAATATTTATTTAGGGAATATATTTCATGAAGAGTGGCTATGGTAGAGTGGTTAGTGTGGGTGGATGAGAGGTTGAGGGTTTAAGACTTGGGGAGTGCTAGAAGAAAGAATTATTTTTTGAAAAATTTGAACCTATTTACGGCGGTAAAAAACCGTCGTTTTTAGTCCTATGTTACCGCCGTTTTTGGTCAACTTTTAACGATGCTAATTTATCTTTTTACGACGGTTGTACTTTTTTCGACACGCGCATAAACGACGGTAACATAACCGCCGTTAATACCACCGTTAAAGGCTTTAACGACAGTTTTACAGCCTTTAACGGTGGTAAAAAACCGCCGCTAAAGCCCAATTTTGGCGTAGTGACAGAACATAGGTGCTAGCAATAGCGATGATGCCTTCTATAGGTATAAGATGCCTAAAATGATTACCAAGATTGAGGGCAGAGGAAATGGCATTAAGACAAATATTGTCAACATGGTCGATGTTGCGAAGGCTTTGGCGAGGCCAGCTTCTTACACAACTAAGTATTTCGGTTGCGAGCTTGGAGCCCAATCTAAATTTGATGAGAAAACTGGAGTGTCACTTGTTAATGGTTCACACGACACTGCTAAACTTGCTGGTCTGCTCGAGAATTTTATTAAGAAATATGTTCAGTGTTATGGCTGTGGAAATCCTGAAACAGAGGTCTTAATTACAAAAAGTCAGATGGTCCAACTGAGATGTGCAGCGTGTGGTTTTGTTTCGGATGTGGATATGAGGGACAAACTCACAGCCTTCATTTTGAAGAATCCACCTGAACCAAAAAAGGGTTCCAAAGACAAGAAGGCAAGGCGGAGGGCTGAAAAGGAGCGACTGAAAGAAGGTGAGGCTGCTGATGAAGAGCAGAAGAAGCTGAAGAAAGTGGTGAAGAAGAAGGGGTCTTCCACTTCTAAGGATGGGCCTGTAAAAGCCAGCTCCAACAAAAAGAAAGCCAGTGGTTCTGATGAGGATTGAAGTTCACCAACTTTAAGTCAGGTTGATGAGAAAGAAGAGACTGACGATGATAATGACAATGACGTGCAGTGGCAGACCGACACGTCACTGGAGGCAGCCCGCCTACGCATCAAAGAACAATTGAGTTCTGTGACAGCTGATATGGTTATGCTTTCCACTAATGAGCCAGTGAATAATAAGTCGAGGGAAACCAATAGAGCAGGCGAAAGTACAAAAATAGAGAATCCCAGTTTCGAGAATGGAAACTCAAACCATAAAAAAATAGTGGAAGAGGCAAAAGCAAAGCTGAAGAAAGGGGCTTCTGCAAATGAATTTCAGTCTATTTTTGGATCGTTTTCTGGGTCTAGTCAGGAAATAATGACTGCTTTGTTTGAGGCACTCTTCGATGGTGTTGAGAAAGGGTTTGCAAAGGAGGTTACCGACAAGAAAGGGTATTTGGTTGCTGCTGTTGCTCAGGATGATGATGAATCACAGTTGCTTTTGCTTCGAGCAATTGAGGCTTTCTGTTTGAAGCCTAGCTTAGTTGCTCTTAAGGAAGTGGCTCTGGTCCTGAAGGCACTCTATGATGCTGATGTGTTAGAGGAGGAATACATTATATGGTGGTATCAGGAAGGTCTGGATGGTGGAAACAAGGACTCTCAGATCTGGAAGAATGTTAGACCATTTATTGATTGGCTCCAGAGTGCTGAGTCTGAATCTGAAGATGAATGATGTCTTTCAGTTTTGCTTCATTTGTGGTACTCTGCTTCCTAATCTTCCTGTCTGTCTGTGTGTTTGTGCTCGTGCACGTGCACGTGCCAACAGCTGTAGAAACCTCCCAATAAAGTGGTAATCTGGTGGTATTGGTATAGTAAATAGTGGTAGTGGTTGTTATGGTCTGTAGTAAATAGTGGTAGTATGCCTGGAACTAGTGGTTGTTATGGTCTGTAGTGTGGTTGCCCTTTTGTTGCTTTCATATTTGCTTTAATCTGGAGAATTTTTGCAGTTTATTTGTATTAATTGGATGCCCCTTTCTCTTGCAAATTGAAGTGGTTTTTTGACAGTGAGCGGCTTATTTTCTACTACATTTAGCAAATTGATGGTTACATGTGAATTTATAATGGAAAGGATAGACACAAGAATGAGGTAGAAATAATAGTTGCCAAGAGTCTTTTAGAAAATCTGCAGTCATTAGGAAATGTGATAGGATTATGTTATTTAAATTAGTTATTGGAGAGAATAGGGAACATTATTAGTGCATATGCCTCTCAAATAGAATTAGATGATTAGACTAAGAGAGATGATCAGATCATGAGAGGCAATAGTGAAAAAATGCGATGCAGTAGATGGTAGTGTTAGAAGAAACGGGTAGACCTAAATTAATGTGGATTAGTATAGTAAATAGATTTATGAATCTCCTTAATTTGACTAACGAAATGGCCTTGAATAGAGTGGAGAAAAATGATTCATGCAACTAACCCCATTTGATGAGACTTAAGGCTTGGTTTGGTTTGGGGGAGAGTGCAATTCTGTAATGAGTGTTGTAAATGAGTTGAGTAGTAGGATGCCGAAGATTGATTTGAAAACTTAACAAGTCTCAAAAGCTTCAAAATGTGATCTCGAGTTGAGGTCGAGTATAGATTGATATATTATGATGCATATGATTTACTAAATATAGTAGTACAAGATAAGTATAGCTTGATTTATTGTGACGCATATGATCAAGTCACTAAATAGAATAGTAGATCATTTTCAAAGCTTGAAAACTTTAACAAGTTTTAAAATGTCAAGTTTAGCTTGTTTATAAAACAAATTTACCTTAAAAATAACTTGAGTAGCTTAGTTCATTTTGACTCATTTTCAACTACATTGTATCGTATATTTTGAGGGTTTACACTACAAAAGTTGCCTTAAAAATTAAAAGGCAAGGAAAAGAAAGTATTGCTGCAGGCAAATTTCAATCAATTCACAAACGGAAAAAATGCCACCTATGGAAAGAGGAGAAACTGCCAATATGTTATTTATATTCTCATGTTTGCAGGAAGCTGCAAATCCAGGCCAAGTTTGTTTGTTTGTTTTTTTGCCAGTGATAAGTACAGATCTTACAACTCATTACACATAGCATTTTTGAAGCAAGACTACATATGTTCCACATCACCATCTGGACCTTTGCAATCACTTCTATTTTTTTGCATCTAATAGAAAACCACAAGTTGCACTGCTGTTTTCAACTCTTTCTTGCAGAAATTACTATGTATGAATGAGATGTAGCGGAGGCTGCAGTTGCGGTAGTTCATTTTCTTGGTTTGACGCGAAATGAGAGACATTACGTGCTTCCTAGCACACAGAAAAAATGAAAAAGCAATGAATTCAAAATGAAATATATTGCAGATCATGTGATCGGCTTATTGTAAGTTCACTTAAATACTGTAGACGTCCCCCGAACGCCCCGGGAGGGTGAGTCCCGTTCTGTTCATTTGGGGTCACTACAGCTCAGGACTCTCAAATTGTCACGGTTCTAAGTCTAAACCGAAGAGTCCAAATCCGGCAAATCGTTTTGAGAAAACTGATTTTTGAAAGAAGTGCCAAACATGGACTGCTTTGCCAGATACAGAGTCGCCACCTAAATATTTTATTTTTGGGGAAATTTAGGAAACCCTGACTCGGTGCCAAAGGCCACGTGTCCGTCATCACCAAAGTTGCCTCGGCTCGGGAACTTGGGTACGATTGGGGAAGGTCTATTGTATACTACCCGAATTACCTCAAATCAATCTCCTCCGTCGCCAACACTCGAATTTCGATATTTCTCCATGGATCTCCAAATTCTAAGCCATAATGTATATGAATGACAAGGCTCGGACAGAGAATAAATCAACAAGGATCCAACAATTACACAACCGATTAGATTCGATAATAAAGCAATTTATCCAATTGCACAAACAGACTAACTAAATATGTAATAATTTATCCAA